TCAGCTGAATGAGCCTCCACACCTCAACTCAAGGGCCTTCTTTTCTGTCTCATCACACCTCAAACAGAGCCCCTGGCACAGATGTGTTCTGAGAGAGCTGGGTTAGCAGCACATTCACTGGCTGCAGGTGAGGAAGCCCAGATCCATGTGAGCTCTGTCTTCTAAACTGCTCTAAAAACTGCCTGCAACTTGACACTGGGAAAATCCAGCAGGCCAGGATACAGTGTGTGGGTGGTGAAGGAGCCAGAAGTCTCCAAGGCACAGGCTGATAGATTGCTCAGCAAGTGTGGGAGTGAGGAGCCAATTCCCAGGCTCCTGGAGAAGTCAAATGGTCAACATTGCAAAGGAGGTTCCAGGCCATCAGCACCACAGCAGCGTGCCTGGAATCTCCCTGCACACTCTGCTTTCTGCAGGACCTCAAATTTCTTACTTTAAAGGTTTGTACTGAATTGTATCCACTTGAATTCCAAAGAGCTCCTTGGCTGCGTGCTTGTAGATGTGCTCCAAATAGCCACCAGAACCTCCCCCAGAGTGGCTTGTGAGCTCCTCTTCTGCAGCACTGCTGAGCCTGGGGAAAAGGAGGGGGGAAAAAAAGGCAGTTTTAGGGGAATTCTGGATAAAATGGAACAGCCAGCATGAATGCAAAGGTCCAGGGGACTCAAAAGCCACAGAACAAGCCCCAGAGCAGTTCCCTTTGAGCTTCTCACTTTTCCCTTTCTCCTGGGAACCAACTATTCATAGCTTCAGAGCCCAGGAGGTTTAACCCTGTGCTGCCCAGCAGCCTTTGGGTCAAGATCAGTGGAAACACTGTCACCTGCCACCGCAAGGCCTGACCCAGGCACTGCCAGCTTCATCTTCCCCTATCAAAAAGTTTATTAGCTCCTCATTTAATACCTCTACAAACAGCCTGAGAAAAGGGAGGAGAGAAATAATCCCAGCATGGTGGGGTGGGAAGGGACCTGTGGAGATCATCGCATACCAGCCCCTGCTCCAGCAGGTCACCCACAGCAGGGTGCCCAGGGTCACAGCCAGGAGGGTTTGGAATCTCTCCAGAGCAGGAGACTCCACAGCCTCTCTGGGCAGCTGCTCCAGGCTCTGCACCCTCACACCAAAGAAGTTTCTCCTCCTGCTCAGGTGGCACCTCCTGGGTTCCAGTTGGTGCCCGTTGCCCCTGGTCCTGTCACTGGGCACCACTGACCAGAGTCTGGCCCCAGCCTCTTGCCCCCTGTGAGCCCTTTAGCTTTTGATCAGCATCAATCAGATCCCCTCTCAGGCTTCTCTTCCCCAGGCTCAACAGCCCCAAACCAGCAAAGTGATGGCACTGTGGGTCCATGCAACCTGTGCTTCTCTTGGAGGACACAACCTAGCAGAACTCCTGTCAAGAGACACCAGTCCTAAAGCTTTCCTGCAATATTAACAAACCAGAGTTCACTACTGAAAGCTCTAGATCTGTGGGACAACACAGGGTTTGAAACCAGCTCCTTTAGATTTGGCTGCTGAGATGTGTGAGAACACTTCTGGGAGGGGTCTGTGCTGTGATCACAGAGAGATGAAATCTGTGTGACTGTGATTTCATGTGCTTCAAGTTGTGTAACACAGGTGAACAAAGATAATGCTGGCAGGACACTTGCTCTGGACAGGACTGTCCTCAGCAGGATCCTGGTTCCAGTTCACAGATTCTTGGTGTTGAACAATGATCTGGCTTCATAGTTGTGCACAAATGATTCCACCTCGCTGACATGCCAAGACACAACCAACTGTTCAGAGGTCAAGAGAACATTTCTTGAGAAGAGCTCCCCAGATGGAAGCCACAACAATAGCTTTTGTTAGAGAATAACAAGAGGAGGGATCTGCTGAGCACCCACCAGGCAGTGACACTTGTGTTCTCCTCCTAACAGCTGCAGGAGGGAAAACACTTGAACTCAGGCCAAACTGTCTCAAGTCAAACTGAAGATGTTGCCTCTCACAGATAAAAATCTGAGCTTTGGAAGTGCTGCAGAAGGCAAGACTTCAGCCCCCCAACCACCCTCAGGAACTATATTTAATTTGCTCTTGTTTACAGGAACTGAGCTTTGTTAACAAAACCTTTCAGTGTGTCTGGCCTCACGTACTGCTCCTCTCTTGAAAGGAGGCTGCCAGTAAGCTCCAGAGCTGGCCTGGAGCAAACAGCTACACCAGCAGCAGCCTGGGGCTTTTTGGCACTTCATCCTCTTCTTGCTGCCAAAGGCAATAACCTCTTAATGGGCTTTTCCACGTGCTGGAGGATCAAGCCCAGCAAGAGCCACGGGGCTGAGCCTGTGACTGCCCTGAGGAATACGTGCTGCTTGCAACCAGCCAGCAAGAGGTTCTAGAGGCACTTGATCACCACCATGCTGCTCAGAATGTCCTCCTCAGGAGCTGGCCAGAGATGGATATCAATTAATTAGATGTTCAGCTCTATGTTATAACTCACACTTCCACAATGTCATTTCCCAAGGGAATCCAAACACTTTGGGATCTTTTTTTTCTCCTGTTTTCTGTTAGTGGGTCAACAAGAAAGCAGAAGGACCTGTTTGCATCACTCAAGTGCTACTTCTGGGACTCAACCATGCTGACATCTACCCCAGCTGAGGATCCTTTTCTTTGTTGAAGGGAAAGCAATCTGTGCCTGCACTAGGTCAGCAAAAGACACTTAATCCTGGAAAAAAGTGGCCATAAATAGATCTGTAGCAGCACGTGTCATGTGAAACCTACACCTACCCATCCACTGAGATGCAGCAGAAGGAAAATGAGGCTCTGGGCATGGATGTTATTTTAAATCTGTTTTTTAAGTTAAGTATGCCTTGCATGAAAGGATGGGATGGCAGCAGACAGTCTCTACCTTGTGTTCTCCTTTTCAGGAGTGACTAATGCTTCTGACAAAGCTCATCTATGAAATAGGCTGCACAAAAGGATGTTTTCCTTCATGGTTCTATCAACATCTGTGTGCTGACCAGGCCACTCTTGAGCACAGGCTGCAAATGGCACATGCTTGTACTAAAAACACTTGAAGGCCATTTAGAAGCAACCCCAATTTCAAAACAAGTTGGTCACATCTGCAAGGGGTGCAGCTGAGAACAGACTAGTGCCACATGCCAGTCGTGTGCTAGATGCTGTATATTTGGGGTACCAAAATCTCTCCTAAAAACTTAAGGAGCTTGTGGAGTAGATTTTTGAGTGGTATAACTTGGTGAGAACTCTCAAAGGTTGCCTTTAAGAATGCAGATGTGGCCTTTGTGTTATTAATGTGCAAAGTGCCACAGACACTTCTTCCAAACTGCCTGGGGGAAGGCTCTGGTTTAGCATTTGGTGTGGAACCAGCACTGCCTGTCAATTCAGAGAGTAAAACATGATTTTATTGTGTCTGTAGTCACTCAGATCTCTGTGCAGTTGTCACTCAACCAGATGTTAGTTCCCAGTTGAAGCAACTCAAGTTTCATCTGGTTTGCACATGTTTTGGATCTTTATTTTTAAAAAGAAAGACTCCTAGAGATTATCTGAGTGACCTAAACATTTCTTACTTATGCTTTAACTCTGGAACCCTTACAGTAGCTGTGATAACTGGGAACAGAGACAAGGAAGCTGAGCACAGTGCACTAACAGGCTCTGTTTCAGCAAACTTTTATCACTGATCCAGATTGTTTCAGTTTGCAGGTAGATTTTTGTGGGATTCCACCCCAGCTATACTCTACCAGTAACTGGAGGAAGTGGCTGCTGTGCAATTTGTACTTCTCTGCACAATTATTTTGCCATTATACTCTGACTGAGCTAATTCCAGCAATCCTGCTGACTTCCAGTGAGTGCTGCTGATCCTGGGGACTACTAAAATCTAGGCTAACTAGTTACAGATCTCCCCAAAGTGGAAATTTATCATATCCTGTGGATTAAGTATTTTAATGCACAGTTGTACTGATTCAAGAAGAGAAAAAAAAACTGAAATGCAAACTTTGTGCAGCCTTGTGTAGAGCAGTAGTGGGGAGGCAAATTCTGTTGAAGAACCCTATAAATGCTGGATGAAAAGATGGCTGAAGATGCAAAAGAGGTTTTGTTCTCACATGGTATCCAATGGAGCAGGATCCACATCTGACAGAGAGACTCCTTCTTGCTCCAACAGCTTTAGCACTTCTCCTGAAACAGAACCATAGATGTAAGAAGTTCTTATTCTGGGGATGAAGGAAAATCAAAATTGACAGCTCAGCACACCAGACTGCATCTGAAACTCTAACCAGGATGTTGTTTGCATTAATACAGTGTAATTAGGCAGCAATACCCTCCATCAGAGACAAAGGCTCATTAAAACTAGCCCTGAGGTGTCCAGAATTTGTCCAGGAATTCCCTGGCCCCCTCTGGCTCCACTCACCTGTGGTGATGACACAGTCCACATCACGAGTTTGGTACTCTTGGTTGAAGAAGTCTGGCCTTGAAGCCTCTAGCTTCTTGTCATAGCAGGGCATGACCGTGACGTGGTAGATCCGCTCAGGGGTCAAGTGCTGCAAGAGAGACAATGATGTGCTGCAGTTGGGCTGCCCAGGAGCAAACCCCCCCTCCCCCTGAGGGGGATGTTTTCCAGGTACAAATGAGGATGATGGCACTGATCCTGGGGCAGAGTGGCTGGAAACTGCCTGCCAGAAGAGGCCCTGGGGGTGCTGGTGGGCAGCCAGCTGGATGTGAGCCAGTGTGTGCCCAGGAAGGCACCAGCATGCTGGCCTGGGTTAAAAGAGTGTGTCCAGCAGGAGGAGGGGAGGGATCCTGCCCCTGGACTGGGGGAGGGAAGAGGTTGAGGACTGGGATCAGTTTTGGACACCACAGTGTGAGGAAGACCTTGAGGGGCTGGAGCAGGTCCAGAGAAAGGCAACGAGGCTGGTGAGAGCGGTGGGGAGCATTCCTGGGAGGGGTGGCTGAGGGAAATTGGATTGTTTACTCTGGAGAAGAGGAGGCTGAGAGGAGGAGACCTTATTGCTCTCTACAACTCCCTGAAAGGAGGTTGGAGTGAGGTGAAGGTTGTTATCCCAGGTAACCAGCAACAGGACAGCAGGAGATGGGTTGAAGCTGTGCCAGGGGAGGTTTCAACTGGGTATGAGGCAGAATTTCTCTCCTGGCAGAGTGGTGAGGATTGGCCCAGGCTGCCCAGGGAGGTGCTGGAGTCCCCAGCCCTGGAGGGGCTCAAAAAACATGTGGATGTGGCACCTGGGCACACGGTTTAGTGTTGGGGTGATGCTTGGAATTGATGATCTTAGAGGCCTTTTCCAACCTTACCAATCCTATGATAATGCCACCATGCCTCTGGAAATACTTCTGCATTTACAGACACATTATTTATCTTGCAGAACCCAATTTTAGTTTGCAGCAAGTGTCAGCAGCATGGTCTTGCACAGGCTTCCCTCCACCTCCTTTTGCTGGTGCAGATGATTCAAAAATCAATCAGTGAAGTGAATTCCTAATTACCCAGTTAGAGAACAGGCTTCCTGCATGCTGCTAAACCCCAGCCAGGCAGCAGCAGCTGAGAAATGATCTGGAGTTAGACAAAAACCTCACGACCATCCAAGAAATAAGCACAGGCCAAGGAAACAAGTCATTGACTCCAGGCCATTGTTTCAGCATCTTGTGCCAAATCTTCTCAGTAGCTGCCAATTTTTGTGACAAGCACACAGATGTCAGCATTTACTTAATGCAAGTGTTAAACCACTGCTCATTAATGGACAATAAATCACACAATCAGAAGTGGTGCTTCAGTTTCTCACTGGACAAATCTAGGCTGTTAATATAACTCCAGTCTTTGCAGATCAAATTTACACTTGGAAGGATTCCAAAGGTTAAAGACTGGAAACAGAACTAAATCAGACTGAAGCAGAACATTAAGCTGGGAACAAGCAAGTAATTTTTGGATGAGACATGATCTGCACGTATGTGCTGACTGAAGTTTTGTCTAAGGATAACTTAAAAGTTATTCACCAACTTAAAATAACATGGAAATACCACACACAGACACTGAAAAGTTTCTCTGGCCTTCCAAAATCCCATGCAGAGGTTTTAAGCAGTCCGTGCAGAAAAATATCAGCTTAAAGTCTTCAATTTTAGCAGTTTGCCCCCAAGTGCAGCATAGTTCACCCCTTACCTGCTGCTCTGCAAAATAGCCCTTGACCAAGGAGCCCATGACCTGCTGTGGAGACTTGGTGGTGCTGATAAAAGGAATGATGAAGCTGCCGTGGGTTTTCTCTGCATAGCAGATCCAGCCTGAGGGGAGTGTAATTAGCAAATAAATTAAAAAAAATTAACAGCCCTTCACTCTGCCCACCCTGCTCCCAACCCCAGGCTTTGTACTGATTAATAACCATTTTCAGCCTCACTTTAGCAAAAAAAGAAAGCAAGGGAAGTGTCACACAAGATTATTGTAGAGATTGCCAGGTAAACATATAGATAATTACTGCTCTTAACACCAAGATGTCTTTGGAAGGTGAACAGAGCAATCCTCTAAGGGCATTTCCCCATTTAGAACCATAAAATCATCAAGGTTGGCAAAGACCTGTAAGATCATCCAGTAAAACCATCAACCCAACCATGACCACGACCACAGAACTCTGTCCACACGTTTTCCGAACACCTCCAGGGCTGGCAATGATTTTAGACTTTTCTCTCCAGCTTTTTCATATTTTTTTTGGTTCTAATGCACACTTTGTAGGCTGGTTCATTAGTTCCATAACTAATTTTTAAGGCCCTACCTGGGCAGGCAGAAGCCAGCATTGGCAAAGCCTTCTTGTCTTCAGCTCGCTTTCGGAAGCGTTTTACAAACTCCTCTTGGCTCTCCAGCAGGCTGAAGTTTCTGGAGAAAGTGGTATCAAAAACGTAGTGCACCCCTAAGCAGGGCAACAGCCGTGTTAAAATTCACACCAAAAAGGCAGCAGATACACCAAAAAGCCTCCAGTCAAAGCAGATTCACACCACGTGCCTTATTTACAGGGGTCAGCCTCAGCAGTTGACCTGTCTCCTGTCAGCACAGTGAGACAGGCACAAGTGACAGGAGGACTGCAGATCTAAAATATAAACCTCCTAAAACTCCCAGGTTCCTCCTGCAGCTAAAATCACAGTTTGTATTTGAGCTAATGCCAGCTACAAAGCACTGTGAGTCCTTGGGGAGGTTAAATCACCCCAGCAGCCCCCTCCAGGGATGAGCAGAACAAAGCCACACTTGCCTAAACTCTTTAAGAAGGCAGTCAGCTTCTTTGCTGTTTCCAGAACTCCCATTTTACACCTTGCAGCTAGTGAAGCTCTGGATTGTGGTGAAACAGAAACCACCACCAATTTCTGTTCTTCAGGAGCAGCAGTCTTGGAAAACAAAATCAACAGCAACATGCTTTGGACAATATTAACATGGACACAAAGAACTTTCAGCACACACTAGGAAGTATTTCCCAGCTTAACTGTGAAGTCAGTAGCTCCCTACATTAAAAATCCTTTCCAAACCCAGGATTTCTTTTTAAAACCAGAAAAAAAACCCCACACCAGTGCACTGAGAATGTCCTTGAACCCTTCTGATTTATGGAGCTAATCTTTATGTGTGCTGTTTCCACACCTGCCTCCGTGGATGCACCACCCCAATCCCTGAAGAATTCCAGCCTCTGGAGCCAAGCTGGCTGTGACATGTCACCCACCTTGTTGAAAGTCAGCATTTTGCAGAGCTCTTCGTGGCTCTGCTGAGTGATTAAAATGCTCTCTGCTGATGTGATGCAGCCACTACAAGCCAGACAGTCATTCAGGGTGATTTTAGCCTTTTCCAGTTTCTGTGCTTCTCCGTCCTGTGAGGAAACAGAGGAGCCTCAGTTCTGGTTGGAATTGGGCAGCAGTCTGCCCACCTTCACTGTATTCACCACAAAGATGGTGCCCTTTTGATGCTCTTGGATTGTCACTCATTAACATAAAGAGGAAGACAAGTATCTCTGAAGTTTGCTGGGTTTTAGAGGATTATTTAGCAGAAAGATGCAAAGACACTGAAGAACTTCAGGGAAATTTTAGCAAGACCATGAACATAACCTGCATAAAACACAGAACAATGGTTTGGGCTGCAGCTGCTGGGCTCACACTGCTCCAAAACACTGAAATTACACTACCCCTGAAGGAAATAGGGTCTGTCTTGCTTCACTTTTCAACTTGTGAGTGGCTGAAGACTGGCTCAGCCCAGCTGCTCTTTCAGCTGCCAGGCTGGAGACCCACAGAGATCCTAAATCTTTAAACCTCAACCTCCAGCACATGTTGAATGTCACCCTGCAGAAAGCAGGCCAGCTTTGTCACCTCTGTCACACCCTGCTCACTGGATGGTGCTGGAGCTGTTTCCTCCCAAACTACAAGCTCACTAACATTTTTTAATCAATACTGAGAGTTCTGTAGTCGTCCTGGGTGCAAAACTTTCACAGGCACTGAAGGGAGAAGCCTCTGGCAGCACATCAGAGACAGTGTGAAGCTGGCCACTGACTTTTCATAACGTTTGACCTGAATTAGTCAGTTATCCCCTGAGATTCTCCTCTTAAACCTCACTTCTCAAGAAGTCAGAAAAAAAAGACTGAGCAATTAGGGACTGTGAAATTAAAATTTTAAAATAAGAAACCAGACCCCTTTGGGAGCATCTCCCCTTCTTAGAGTCATCCTCTGCCTAAGTGGAAAATACCATTTCTTGATGATTTCCCAGCTTGATTAACTCAGAAATGCTTAGTAACAACTTCTGGGTAAACAGGAAAACTATTCTGCAAAATTGAGCAGCAATTAGAGAAGCAGGAGGCTTAGGAATTCTGCAGGGTAATGAACAAATCATTTGAAATAGTATTTAAAAAAATCAGAGCAGAATTTTAAAAGCATCCAGCTGAATCCCATTTTCAGTGCTCTGCTCTGTGACATCATGCAAAAAGAAAAGATTCAATAATCAAGTCACAAATAATCTAAGAATTGGTACTGATGGGAAAACAGACATTGGATCTTGTATAGAAAATCATCATTAATTAATGTCAGTGCTTTAGAGCACAAAAGGCTGATGCAAAATCAGAATTACTGCTTATAAAACCAAGTAATTAAAAAGTTGGACTCTGGAAAAAAGACACAAGAATGCTGACAGCAATAGGAACACTCTTCTAACACCTTGGTCCTCTGTGAGGCATTAAATAGCTGTAGGCTACTCAAATACTTCACAATACACTCCCATTTTTCTGGATATTTTACACAATAAGGAAGCAAAATGACACATACCTGATTGATCTGAAAATAGCTTCCATCTGCTTCTATCCTGATCTTAGCTGCTGCTTTTCCAGGCTTTTTTTCCACTTTTACAGGTTTGATACATTCCTGAAAGAGAAATAAAAGCCCCAAAGTGCAGAGATGAGCAACAAAGAGGTAGATGGAATAGAAACCAGAGGGATCCAACCCAAACCCCAGTTCCAGAGTGAATGCTGCCTGCTCTCCCTTAAACTGTGCTGGATTTACTTTCAGCATCTGTAGCCACCAAGGGAAAAAAAACATAAAAGCAAAATCTCACCCCGAAAGAGAAATAAAAGCCCCAAAGTGCAGAGATGAGCAACAAAGAGGTAGATGGAATAGAAACCAGAGGGATCCAACCCAAACCCCAGTTCCAGAGTGAATGCTGCCTGCTCTCCCTTAAACTGCTGGATTTACTTTCAGCATCTGCAGCCACCAAGGGAAAAAAAAAACATAAAAGCCAAATCTTCTCACCCCTTTTTTACAGAAGGAACACTTTTCCAGCATCCCACCCAAACCAGAGAGCAGTTTTGCTATTCCTG